TGCCTTAGCCTCCTGAGTAGCTGGGATTACAGGCGCCCACCACCACACCCAGGTAATTTTTGTATTTTCAGTAGAGACAAGGTTTCACCATGTTGGCCATCCTAGTCTCAAACTCCTGACCTCAGGTGATCTACCCGCCTCCCAAAATGCTGAGATTACAGGTGTGAGCCACTGAACCCAACCACTCTTGTGAAACACTTTTACATTTACATTATAGGCTCTTAGTCCTATAATTCTGAGCAGTGATCAGCTGTGACAAACATCTCATCCTATAGCAATCCAACCCAACCAAGATAGAGAAAAGCAATGCAAGGGGCTATTTGGGAATAGGGAAAATGAGAAAATAGGGAAAAAGAGAAAAGGTATTGATGGGAGTAACAGTAGAGGATGAGAAAGGTCCTGAGGTTAAATACCCAAGCCATGGGTACCTTTTTCAAGAATGTTGCTGCTGTTTCTCTCTTTGTTGCAGTGATCCGCTTTACTCCATCTGGGGACTGCACACGAATTATCTGTTATAAACGAAATATGATGGTTACTACTGCACAGCCTAGTGAGTAGTGAGGTCCTGCTCTACTCCTAAGACTACATCCGTGGTCTTTTAGCATCTGAGTCACTAAAATTTAAAGCCAAATCTCATTTAAATCATTCTCCTGTGATCTGGATTAAAAAAAAAAAAAAAAGTCAAATCTCACTCTTCACTTCTCAACACTCAGCTCAATCTTTCTAGAAGATGAAGCCAAGGGGAGAGATTCATCAACATTTGGGGAGACAGTTTAAGAGTACTATCCTCTCAACTCTTAGTTTCACTTGGAAAACAACTTTATTTCCTAACCATTATTTATAGAGTATATGTGAAATGCTTTTTGACTCTTCAAACTTAAAACAAAAACTACCTCCAGGCTTAAATTAAAAAAAAAAAAAAAAAAAAAAAAAAAAAAAAAAAAAAACAAAAAAAAAAAAAAAAAAAAAAAAAAAAAAAAAAAAGGAAAAAAAAAACCCACCATGAACCATGAAGGAACTGTGTTCTTTATAAAAGATGTTACTTTGTTCCAGGATCTATACACAAACATTAGGCAGTCTTTAAGAGTCCTACAATTAAAAGAATCACAAGCAATTTTCTAATTGTTACTTCTTTTTTACTTTTTTGAGACAGAGTCTTGCTGTCACCCAGGCTGGAATACAATAGCAAAATCACAGCTTACTACAGCCTTGACCTCCAAGGTTCAAGTGATCCTCTGAACTCAGCCTCCTGAGTTCCCTGGGACTACAGGCCTGCATCACCAGGTCAGGTTAATTTTTTTTTTTTTTTTTTTTTTGGTGATGTGTCACCATACTGCCCAGGCTGGTCTCAAGCTCCTAGGCTCAGGTGACCCTGCCACTGTGCTCGAATTTCAGGCATGAGCAACCACACCTAGCTATCACTTACGTTCTATAAAAAAGATTTTAAAATGGCCAGGCACAGTGGCTCACGTTTGTAACTGTAGTACTTTGGGAGGACAAGGTGATGGATCACTTGGTGAGAAGTTCAAGACCAGCCTGGGTAACATAAGGAAGCTTCATCTCTACTAAAAATACAGAAGTTAGCCAGGCATGGTGGCACACGCCTGTAGTCTCAGCTACTTGGGGAACTGAGACATGAGAACCACTTGAACCAGAGAGGTCAAGTTTACAGTGAGCCAAGATGGTGCCACTGCACTCCAGCATGGGTGACATAGTAAGACCTTGCCTCAAAAAAAAAAAAAAAAAAGAGAAAGAGATTAAAGTTAAAAACAATAAAGGTCATTCATGGTAAGATTTAGTAGGGTTTTAAAAAAATTTTTTTGGCTGGGCACAGTGGCTCATGCCTGTAATTCCAGCACTTCAGGAAGCCAAGGCAGAAGGATTCCTTTAACCCCGGAGTTCAAGATCAGCCTGGCCAACACAGCAAGACTCCATCCTAATTTAATCTGTGCGTATATACATATATATATACACACATATACACACACACACACACATATATATATATATATATTTTTTTTTAAGTATTTTTTTTTCCCATGGTAAGCCTAAAAAGGTGGGCAGATCTGGAATACTATGGGACAAAGAGCATAACTTCCTAAGACAACCTGATTTTTATGCTGATGAAAGCCATTGTGAAGGTGAGCTATAATGCCTAGCCAACAGTACAGGTCCCTGTTCAGACAGGGAGGATGAAATGGCATGCTCTGCAGCAAACAAAGACCTGCTCCAACCACCTGCAGACGGGAAGGAGGCTGACAGGAACATGCTGCTGACAGGAACATGCTGCAAGTGCTCCAGTCCTGGCTTCTCCGCTCAGCAATGACTGGTGGTGCACTGCAGAGCGTCTATTTCCTGCATTATTGTCTCTTGTCTTTAGCTCATTTTTTTCTTTTTTTTTTTGAGATGGAGTTCGCTTTAGTGGCCCAGGCTGGAGTGCAATGGTGCAATCTCGGCTCACTGCAACCTCCACCTGCCAGGTTCAAGCAATTCTCCTGCCTCAGCCTCCCAAGAGGTTAGGATTACAGGAATGTACCACAACACCCAGCTAATTTTTTGTATTCTTAGTAGAGACAGGGTTTCACCGTGTTAGTCAGGCTGGTCTCGAACTCCTGACCTTGTGATCCACCCACCTCCACCTCCCAAGGTGCTGGTATTACAGGCGTGAGCCACTGCGCCCAGCCTGAAGACCGATTCTTGACACCTGGTAAAAACTTCGGAGACTGTCACAATGCTACAGCATGAACATTACTCCTCACCCAATACTGCTCGGCTTCCCCCAGAAATCCCAAATCTTCCTTAATACTAACCAAAATTCGGCTGGGCGCGGTGGCTCATGCCTGTAACTCCCAGCACTTTGGGAGGCTGCGACAGGCAGATCACCAGAGGTCAGGAGTCTGAGACCAGCCTGACCAACACGGCAAAACCCAGTCTCTACTATAAATACAAAAAAATTATCCGGGCGTTGTGACGGATGCCTGTAATCCCAGCTACTCGGAAGGCTGAGGCAGGAGAATCGCTTGAACCCGGGAGTAGGAGTTTGCAGTGGGCCGAGACAGGGCCACCGCACTCCAGCCTGGGCAACAAAAGCAAAACTCTGTCCCCAAAAAAATAAATAAATAAATAACGAAAATTCTGTCCAAGGGTCAGTTAATTTTTTCCCATCACATTTACTTTTGGGGAAAAGCTTCTCACAAGTTAACGAGGGGCTGGTTTTCTCTGATAATTTTCACTGACATTTTTTACCTTGGTAGGGATGACAATTAATTTTTCTTTTTTTGAGACGCAGTCTCACTCTGTTGCCCAGGCTGGAGTGCAATGGCGCTATCTCGGCTCACTGCAACCTCCACTTCCCAGGTTCGAGCGATTCTCCTGCCTCAGCCTCCCAAGTAGCTGGGATTACAGGCGCCAGCCACCACGACCGGCTAATTTTTTGTACGTTTAGTAGAGACAGGGTTTCATCACGTTGGCCAGGCTGGTCTCGAACTCCTGACCTCACGTGATCCACCCGCCTCGACCTCCCAAAGTGCTGGGATTACAGGTGTGAGCCACTGCGCCGGGCCGACAATCCTCAGTTTCAGGTAAAAAGTGAAATCAGCCTCATTTATGACATTCCTTTTAAAGAGGAGTTGTCAAGTTTTCCTTCTAAGAAGGAGCAAAGCCAGGAAGTGACTGCGCTTTTCATTTTCCCAGCGGCTCGGCGGGGAGGGAGCTCGGCACCGTCCCCGTCTGCGGAGCTGCTCTCCGCAGTGCTTCATGACACGGCACTCGCTGGGAAGGGGGAGAGCGGCAGAAGAGGATCGGAGGGGGATTGGGGTAAGAAGCAGCCCTGGCTCTGAGGGGCAGGACTGGCTGGGAGTCCCTGGGACGGACCGGGGAGTCTCCGGGAGCCGGGAACCGGGTGCGGAAGGAGCGCGTCTCTCTCCGGCACAGCCCGTTTTCCCTGCAGAAAGGCTCGGCCTTTCCCTGCCCAGGGCGGGGAACCGGGGTCGCGAGTCCCCCGCGAAGGGACAGGGACGGGAAGCAGCCGAGGGGGTGGAAGCCGCCGAGGGGGGCCCAGCCTCTGCTGAGAAAGCCCGGGCGAGAAGGGGAAAGGGACCCGGTCGCGGGGCCGGCAGGCCCGCCTCCCCCACAGGCCGCGGCCGGCAAATCTGCTGCCTCATCCCGGCGTCCCCGCTCCCGCCCGGCTGCCGCACTCACGATGCTCTCGGCCATGGCGGCCGCTCCTGCCTCCGGGCTCGAGTCCCGGGCCGCCGCCGCCTGCCGCCCCGAGGGCCTCGCAGACCCGGCCGCGGCCTCAGACCCGGCCCCGGCCTCCCTACGCCGCCGCCACCGCCGCTCCAGCTTCGCCCGCCCGGCTCCGCCAGCCGCCGACGTCCTGGTGCCTCGCTCAAGACTCTCCCCCGGGCGCGCGGCCGGGAAACCGGGTTCCGGCGCCACCAACGGCCCGACGCATGCGCAGGTGGCGCCGCGGACCCGCCGCCCCTCCCGGCACCGCGAGGAGGCGAGTTTTGGAAAGACGCCCGGTCGATGGCAAAGGCTCGTCCTCGGAAACCCAAGCTGGAAAGGAAAGCCCGAAAAGGAGGCAAAGACGAGCATCCGAAATCTCACCCAAAAATAACTACTGCTGCGTATTACAGCGAATTATAACTGGGGAAATAGCATTCCAAACTTCTGTCCATGCACAGGTAAGGAGAGAAACAATTTCAGGAAGCGAGGACCACACTTTTGTTATTTTTTTTTAAGTCTTTTTTAAATTTAACATGAGAAAAGCAAATGAATTTAAACTGCATTTCAGGCCGGGCGCGGTGGTTTACGGCTGTAATCCCAGCACTTTGGGAAGCTGAAGTGGACGGATTACCTGAGGCCAGAAGTTCGAGACCCGGCTGGCCAACATGGTGAACCCCGTCTCTACTAAAAACACAAAATTAGCCTGGCACGGTGGCTCACGCCTGTAATCTCAGCACTTTGGGTGGAGGCAGGTGGATCATCTGAGGTCAGGAATTCGAGACCAGCTTGGCCAACACTGTGAAACCCATCTCTACTAAAAATACAAAAATTACCCAGATGCGGTCTTGCGTGCCTATATTCCCAGATTCTCAGGAGTCTGAGCCAGGAGAATCACTTGAAGTTGTGAGGCAGAGGTTGCAGTGAGTGGAGATGGGGTCACTGTTCTCCAGCCTGGGCGACAGAGCAAGACTGCCTCCATCTCAAAAAAGAAAAAACAAAATTAGCAGGGCCGGGCGCGGTGGCTCACGCCTGTAATCCCAGCTACTCAGAAAGCTGAGGTAGTGAGGTAACAGAATCACCTGAGATCAGGAGGTCAAGGCTGCGGCGAGTCAGGATCGTGCCACTACACTCTAGCCCAGGCAACAGAGTGAGACTTCATCTGAAAGAAAAAAAAAAACAGAAAAAAGACACCACTTCACAGAGTCTAAGGATTTTAGGAGCTGCATGCCAGGAAACTGGAAGACCAAATATATACATATTTCACAACATCACAATTTGACAGTTTTTTTTAACTATGTTAAATTACATTAATTAAATTATGTAATTGTGTTAGTTTTCTCAGACTACCATTGTAACTGCCCAGTGGGTGGTCCCTGCCCACTGCCTAGACTTCATCAAGACAGGTGAATTGCAATAGAGAAAGAGTTTAATTCACCTAGAGCCAGCTGTTCGCGTTACCAGGGACCGGGGTTTTATTACTACTCAAAAAATCAGCATCCTCGAGAATTCGAGGATTGGAATTTTTGGATTTTTTTTTTTTTCTTTTTTCTTTGAGACAGTTTTGCTCTTGTTGCCCAGGCTGGAGTGCAATGGCGTGATCTCAGCTCACCAAAACCTCCGCCTCCCGAGTTCGAGCGATTCTCCTGCCTCAGCCTCCCGAGTAGCTGGAATTACAGGCAACAGCCACCACACCCAGATAATTTTGTATTTTTAGTAGAGACAGGGTTTCTCCATGTTGGTCAGGCTGGTCTCCAACTCCCAACCTCAGGTGATCTGCCCACCTTGGCCTTTCGAAGTGTTGGGATTACAGGTGTGAGCCACCAGGCGCAGCCAGGGATCCGAGTTTTAAAGGATAATTTGGTGGGTATGGGGTCAGAAAGTAGGGAGTGTTGATTGGTTGGGTAAGAGATGAAATGACAGGGAGTCAAAATTGTCCTCTTGGGCTGAGTCAGTTCCTGGGTCAGAGGCCACAGACCAGATGAGCCAGTTTATCAATCTGGGTGGTGCCAGCTAAACAATGGAGTGCAGGGTCTGCAAAATATCTTCAGAGCTGATCTGTTTTATAAGGGAGATGTTATCCTGAGGGGCAATTTGGGAGACTTTTCATCTTGTAGCCCGCCTGGCACAGTGGCTCACGCCTGTAATCCTAGCACTTTGGGAGGCCGAGGTGGGTGGACCACCTGAGGTCAGGAGTTCAAGACCAACCTGGCCATCATGGTGAAACCCCATCTTAAAAAAAAAAAAGAAAAAGAAAAAGAATCTTGTAGCCTCCAGCTGCATAACTCCTAAACCATAATTTATAATCTTGTGGCTAATCTGTTAATCCTGAAAAGGCAGTCTTGTCCCCAGGTAGGAAGGGAGTTTGTTTTGAAAAAGGGCTGTTATCATCTTTGCTTCAAAGCTAAACTATAAACTAAGTGCCTCCTGAAGATGGTTCAGCCTGTACCCAGAAATGAACAAGGACAGCTTGGAGGTTAGAAGCAAGGTGGACTCAGCTAAGTCCCATCCCTTTAACTGTAATAATTGTCTCAGTTATAATTTTTGCAAAGGCTGTTTTACCATAACAGACTGGTGGTTTGGAATTACTTTCTTCCTTTTTTTTTTTGGAGACAAAGTCTCACTCCGTTGCCCAGGCTGCAGTGCAGTGGCATGATCTCACCGCAACCTCCGACTCCCAAGTTTAGGCAATTCTCCTGCCTCAGCCTCCTGAGTAGCTGGGATTACAGGCGTGCACCACCACGTCCAGCTAATTTTTGTAATTTTAGTAGGGACAGGGTTTTATCATGTTGGTCAGGCTGGTCTCGAACTCCTGACCTTGTGATCTGCCCACCTTGGACTCCCAAAGTGCTGGGATTACAGGCTTGAGGCACCACACCTGGCCAGTTTGGAATTACTTTCTAACAGTCCTAGAACTGGAATCCCACATCAAGTTGTCAATAGATGTGGTTTCTCCTTTTTTTTTTTTTTTTTTTTTTTTTTTTTTTTTTTTTTTTTTTTGAGACTGAGGTCTCACTCCCGTCACCCAGGCTGGAGTGCAGTGGCACGATCTCAGCTCACTGCATTAGCTCCTGAGTAGCTGGGATTACAGGTGCATGCCACTTCACTTGGCTAATTTTTTTTTTCTTTTTTGAGACAGATTCTTGCTCCATCACCCAGGCTGGAGTACAGTGGCCCAGCCAACTGTTTCATTCTTGCAGTGAACAAACCGTGGGAATAGATTGGCACTGGGGCTGCCAATGGGTCTCTTGATTTTGGGGTTGTTTGCAGGGGCCTGATTCCCTGGTTGGGAGCTGATGGAGTGGCTGCTGACCCTGCCGAGCTGAAGTCTGCACGGGGGCCCTGCAGTGACAGCCACGAGTCTGCACCCAGACATCCCTGCCCAAGTCGCACCTGCGCAGAGCTTAGGAGATCCACAGAGCCAGCGCTGGGGAGAAATGTGTCTCCACAAGCAGAGACCGCCTTAAGCTCTAAAATGTGATTCCTCACATGACTCAACTGTGACTCTGGCATCTGGGTGGGGCTCGCAGCTCCCCCATTTTCATGCCCAGGGCTGCACCATTCACAGACCAGCCCAGGGCCACAGGCAGGACCAGCCTAGCAGCCCAGCCACAGAGGAGCCAGTGAACCTCTACCGGCGCCCGTGCTGAGGGGCTTTCTGTGCAAGTGTCAAGGATGGAGGAGGGGGAGAGGAGCCCCTTACTGCCCCAGGTGAGCAGTGCCAAGTGGCCTTTGGCTGAGGTTGGAGATGCCCCCAGCCCTGAGGTCCCAAGGGAGGTCCCTGGGCTGGTTCATACCCACCCCCACCCCTGGTGCCACCCCACACCTCAATGCTGAGATTAGGTTGGGAGGTGGTTCTAGGTAGCCCCCTCCCTCTTCCCCAGTGCTATAGATCTCTCGGCCCCATGCTGGCCTCTGGTCAAGGGATCTGCTGGGTCTCCCTAAGGGCCTTGGGAGCAACCTCTGGCTCAGGGTGCAGGAGGGGATGAAGGCAAACATCCCTTGCAGCCAGCCTCCAACAGCTGCAGTCTGGCCAACCAGGCACTGGCAGCCTGCCCTTTTGATTCTAGTGACTTGTTGAGGTCTGTGGGGCTGATAAATAACCCTTCTTTGGGACTGGACGCAGTGGCTCACTCCTGTAATCCCAGCACTTTGGGAGGCTGAGGAGGGAGAACTGCTTGAGCCCAGGAGTTCAAGACCAGCCTGGGCAATGTAGCGAGACCCTGTCTCTACAAAAAATTATTATTGTTTTTGGCTGAGCACGGTGGCTCATGCCTGTAATTCCAGCACTTCGGGAGGCCGAGGCGGGTGGATCACCTGAGGTTGGGAGTTCAAGACCAGCCTGACCAACATGGTGAAACCCCGTCTTTAA